GTTCTGGCACCTACAGTCGCCGGGAGCAGTCCCAGATCATTGTGGAGGTGAACCTCAACAACCAGACACTGCACGTGTCCACGGGGCCCGAGGGGAAGCCGGGCACTGCCACGGCCCCGGCCACTATGGTGCTGGGCCGGGAGGACGGGCTGCAGAGACACTCGGAGGATGAGGAGGATGACGACGAGGAGGAGGAAGAAGAGGAGGAGGAGGAAGAGGAAGGCGGTGGCAGTGGAGGGGAGGAGGAGGAGGAGGAGGAAGAGGAGGGTGGCAGTCAGGGAGAGGAGGAGGATGAGGAGGAGGAAGGGCACAGCGAGCAGGAGGAGGAAGAGGAAGAGGAAGAGGAAGGGCACAGTGAGCAGGATCAGGAGAGCTCCGACGAGGAGGAGGAGGATGAGGAGGAGGGGGAGGTGGGGCCCAGGCAGGGGTCTGGGCGCAGGAGCAGCCGGGCGGACCCCCCTCCCCACAGTCGCATGGCCACGCGATCTGCCCGGCGCCGGGGCCCCCCTGAGCCTGAGGAGCCCGGGCGGCGGGGTGGGAAGCGGCCAAAGCCACCTGCAGGAGTGGCTTCTTCCCCAGCCAGGGGGCCACAGGCTGCTGATGGGCTGGGGGCCAAGGTGAAGCTGGAGGAGAAGCAGCACCACCCATGCCAGAAGTGCCCTCGAGTTTTCAACAACCGGTGGTACCTGGAGAAGCACATGAACGTGACCCACAGCCGCATGCAGATCTGCGACCAGTGCGGCAAGCGCTTCCTGTTGGAGAGCGAGCTGCTGCTGCACCGGCAGACGGACTGCGAGCGCAACATCCAGGTGGGCCTCCTAGGGCTGACGGGTAGGGCAGCAGAGGCTATCCGAGGCCACACAGCCATCCAGTGTCCGGTTGCCCGCACTGCCCGACAGTCTGCCGAGACCAGACTTAGCCCCTTGGACAGTGGGACCAGCCCAGGCCCAAGGGTGAGCCAGATAGCCAGGCCCAGGTCCTCAGGGTGGTAAGAGCTCAAATATAATGTCCTGGGGGAGGCAGATAGATCTGGGCTTTGGCACATGGAGCAGTGTGCAGATAGGATTGGAACAAACGGTACCCTTGGCCAGAGGGGAGAGGGGAGCTTGGGTTTGGGATGATGAGAGGAGAGAGTTGTCTGAGCACGTGAGCCTAGGGGACAGCCAGCTCCGAGGAGGGATGAGTCAGTATTTTAGTAAATCTTTGGGCTGCCGCAAGGCCAGCAGGGCAACAGTATACAGTTGCACAGATTGTGCACCGCACAAAAGCACAGATGAGGGGAGGAGGGGTTTGCCCAGAGGAGGGCACCATTTTCCACTTGCTGCAAAGGCTGAATAGAGCAAGGGGCAGCCGGGTGGGAGGAAACCCCTGCATTCAGCATTTTGGAGATGCCAGCTGGCCTGGGCCTGGGGAAGAGGGACCGGATGAGCAGTTTGGGCAGTGCAGGGGCTGCTGGGGCCGAGCAGGGGAGCTGGGCTGGCTGCCAAGCCTTGGGCCAGCCTGGCCTTTCAGGATGCAGGCAGCACAGGGCCAGCCAGGCTGGTTTTTACCCTTTCTGGCTGGGAGTGAGGTTGGGGGGCAGTAGGTAGGCGGGTGCTAATTGCCTAAACTAATTTCTAATTGCAGTGCCCTGTGGAGAAAGCGTTACCTAGGGGTTACCTGGTCTCCTGCACCACCCTCGTGTACCTGTTCTCACTTGCCCGCCTGCTAGGCTGCCCTTTGACTCTACCTGCACACACCTGAGCTTGCCTCCTGAAGGGGAAAGACACTTATACCTCTTCCACCCCAGGCATGCTGACCCAACTTCTGCCTGAGCCCTGGCCTGCTGCAGGGATGGGTAGAACAAGGGACCAGGGGAAGAGGAGGAGGGCAGTATGGCCCCCACGGTTCCCATCACCCTTCTCTTGCCTGGTAGGCCCTGGTACCCACTGTGGTCCCCAACAGCCAGTCCTTTGGAACCTGCCTCCTTGGGTATCTTTATGGTGTCAGGGCATGGGTCCCAGCAGGGGGAGGCAGCGGAGATAACACCTCAGCTCTGCTGGGACCTGTTATCTGGAGGTTTTCTCCATGATCTGTGTAGCCCCCTCACCTGCTGTGGCCCTTCAGCCAGTCATATGTCTCCCTTCTGTAAAGAAACACCTTGTTGAAATGAGCACAGAGGAGGGACTTCCTAGAAGAGGTGACCCCTGATCCTAGTGAGTTCAGGATGAGGCAGGGCCCCAGGCTGCAGCCCTGGCTGGGTAGGTGGGTAAGCGTTCACGGAGTTACCACCCCCAGCTATCAGAACATCGCATCTGGCTGGTCCTTGGACATCAAGGCCTCTCTCTCCAGCACAGTTCAGGTGGGGAAACTGAGGCCCAGAGTGGGACAGTGACTTGTCCTAGGTCACATGGTCCTGACCCCGGACCTAAATTCCTCTCCCCCCGCAGTGTGTGACATGCGGCAAAGCTTTTAAGAAGCTCTGGTCCCTCCACGAGCACAACAAAATCGTGCATGGCTATGCAGAAAAGAAGTTCTCCTGTGAGATTTGCGAGAAGAAGTTCTACACCATGGCTCACGTGCGCAAGCACATGGTCGGTAAGTCCAGGCTGGTGGGGGATGGAGCTTGAGGTCCGAGATGGGCCAGCTGCTGGGTGTGCTGGGAAGCACTTCACATCCAAGGGCAATATGAATGGATGAGAAGGCTCCTCGCAGCTGGGAGGCCTGGGCAGGTTGCAGTGGCGGGTGTGTCTGGGCAGGCTCTGGGGCCAGGGCTGCCATGTACAGTGGGGTAGGTTGCACGTGGCACAAGAGCTCCCAGACAAGATGGTAGGTGGAGACTAGAATCCAGCTGGCACATTGCGAGCCAGGCTGTGCATCCTGGCACGGGGCTGTGTCCACCGGGGAAAGCAACACCTTTTCCTAAATTGCACAAAATGCCTTATGGGATGACACAGGCCCTGTCTCAACCTGAGGACAGCTGTGCCTCTGACAGGGCTGCAGGCTGCTCTGAATCCAACTCTCCCCCAGGGATCACACTCAGACAGAATAAGGAGGCCCCCAAGTGTGTTGGACCGCTCTGCTGCCTTGGGCATGGTTGTCCCTCCCATTTAGGTGGGCCTGGCTAGGAGTCTGGTGTCCAGGTGACACTCCCTTCTTTGCCTGCTTAGGGCCTGGAGCTCTAGGGAAGGGTAGCCAAGGAGGGCAGTGGGCCCTGGCCTGGCCTTACCCCCTTTCTCTGCTAGACAATGCTGGAGGATTCCAGCATGAACTGACTGGGAGGTGGGACCCTGGGGGCTGGGTCTCAGCCAGGAGTATGCTGGGTGACCCAGGATTGGTGTTCCTTTCTGGGCTCAGATTCCCCAGCTCTGAAGGGGACCCTCCCTGTCTCTAATTGCTTCTTCTCAGATCCTCCTTGAAGAGTTTGTTCTGGGGGGAGTGCAGGTAACTCCCTCTGGATGGCATGGACCCAAGGCTGAGGCCATCCTCTGTAAAGCCCAGCCACGCTGCAGGCTCAGGGCCATTCTAACCTCTCTTCATGGAAGAGGATGCTGAGCCCACTAAGGCCCACAGTGGCCACTCGGAGCCAGTGGCTGGGCCAGGATTTGAGCCAAGACCAGTCCCATTTGGAATCCTTTGTTCTTTCCACGAAGCTTTGGGAGTGAAGTGGCCTTGGCTGTTTCCCTCAGCCAGAGGCTAAAGAACCATGAGGGCCTCCACGCTGCTCTGACCAGACAGACCTAGCCTGGAGGGAAGGGGCCGTGCCTGGGAGTCAGTCCAGGTCCCGGGACAGAGGCTGTGGGATAGGCCCCGGGGAAGGTGATGCCCCAGGAGGCAGGACCTGGGCTCGCTGTGGGGGGTGATCAGAGGGGCCCCCTGGGAGGAGCTAGACAGGCCCCCCCCCCGAGATGTCATGGCCATGGTACCTGCCCTGTGTAGCCCACACAAAGGACATGCCCTTCACCTGCGAGACCTGTGGGAAGTCCTTCAAACGCAGCATGTCTCTCAAGGTGCACTCACTGCAGCACTCCGGGGAGAAGCCATTCAGATGCGAGGTGAGCTCCCTTCTCCTCCTGCCCCAGGCCACCCTAGTGGGGCAGGGATCAGGGGCAGCAGCTGCTTAAAAACCAGGTGATTGAGGGGACTGGAGTCAGGATGCAGAAAGAGAGGGGCCCATCCTGTCTGTGGTCCCTGCCTCCCACTCCATCCTTACCTGGTTGCCCACCTGCCCCTCCCCACTCCCCCTGCCATCCCACCCTAACCCAACCCTGTCATGTTCAGGGTGGGAACTCTGCATGGGCTGGAACCTTGGGGCGGGTTTTCTGGAGAGGTGGAGAGAGAAGCATCTCAGGCAGAAAGATCAGAGGTGGAGCTGCAGGTGGGGATGAGGGGGCCTTTGCACAAGTAGGAAGGATGGACGGTCTCTGCTTTAAGCATGAGGGCTCCCTCCACTCTGAGGCCTTTCCCCACTTTCTGACCCCTATTCCTGCCTGGGCTCCGCGTGCCCACGGCCTCTCCACTGCCCCACCCAGGAGTACCTCCGCTGGCCTTTGCATCCACACCTTCTTGCCCAGGAGCCCCTACCCAAGTGAGTCCTTCCCAGGGCCCTGAGGTCTGGGGCCAGCACTTCCCTCCCTGAAGGCTTCACCTCCCACCCCCACTCTCAGAACTGCAATGAGCGCTTCCAGTACAAGTACCAGCTGCGGTCACACATGAGTATCCACATCGGCCACAAGCAGTTCATGTGCCAGTGGTGTGGCAAGGACTTCAACATGAAGCAGTACTTTGACGAGCACATGAAGACTCACACAGGTGCGGCTGCCCCACGCGGGAGGGGCTCAGCGCTGGCCTCCCTGCCTTCCAGGGTCGGTGAGGCTGGTACAGAACTGCCAGGGTGGGAGGATCCGAGAGTACCAGTCTCGGGCCCCACTCCGGTTCCCTGGGCGCAGGGAGGCGGGCCGAGGGCTGGGGCGTGGCAGCCAGTGACCCATCCCCACCCACCCCGCCTGCAGGGGAGAAGCCGTACATCTGCGAGATCTGCGGCAAGAGCTTCACCAGCCGGCCCAACATGAAGCGGCACCGGCGCACGCACACCGGCGAGAAGCCCTACCCCTGCGACGTGTGCGGCCAGCGCTTCCGCTTCTCCAACATGCTCAAGGCG